GAGAGAGAGAGAGAGAGAGAGAGAGATGTGACTATTTTAATTATTTAAGATAAAAAAGTGAAATACATTTTTTCTGTTTCTTCAGTGTTTGAAAATAAACAAGTATCTTAAGGAGAACAAAGGGTTGGATTTGTGTTATTTTATTTATCTGAATTCCCACTATACCATGCACATTTTACAACATGTAAAAGTAAATATGTAAAAAGTCTTGGATGAACTTCACAGAAGTTGACAGTTGTTGAATTACAAAGTTTTTACTGTTAAACCTGAGTAACGTGATAATTCAAGGAGTGGCATCCAACTGCAATGGATAACAAGTTTTATTTTACTCAATGAAATATTTTACATGTGTTAACAGTAGAAATGCTTACATACGTTTTTCATCTTAAAGTTATATTGTATACTTCAAATTAAAACAATTCCCTTTACCTGGGTTGCAGTTCTTTCTTGCATATTTTTTTTTATTATTCAACCGTGTTTAAAATTGTTCTTCAGCTCATACTGCATTATTAGAACACTGTYCATGATTAAGTTACAAAAAACATTTAGAAATTTATAACAAAAACAAAATGACAAGCCTGAATCATCTTACACAATAAAATCCATTCAAAAAGTTGTAAACAATGTAACAATGTAAACAGGGTACCTGCAGGTTTTAACAAGTCAAATTTAAGACTTTTTAAAGAGCTTTTTAATACCAKCTTGAATGAAATTTAAGACCAAAAATATAAGCGATTGTTCAGGGATTCTACTGTATTACAACCAAGCGCATGTGTCACTCAATAAAAAGCATTGAATATAAAGAAATTCAGTGCTCTCTGGTTAAATTATCTGTATTTTACAAGTGCAGTTATTTGGTTGGAAACAACCAATACACATAACAACTCACACCTCCGGGGGAACTTCGAGTGCTGTACCGGTCTGTCGTGGTGAAGCGGGAGCTGAGCCAGAAGGCAAAGCTCTCGGTTTACCGGTCGGTCTACGTTCCTACCCTTATCTATGGTCATGAACTTTGTGACCGAAAGAACGAGATCGCAGATACAAGCGGCTGAAATGAGTTTCCTTCGCAGGGTGTCTGGACTCTCCCTTAGAGATAGGGTGAGAAGCTCAGTCATCCGGGAGGGACTCAGAGTAGAGCCGCTGCTCCTCCACGTCGAGAGGAGCCAGTTGAGGTGGCTCGGGCATCTGGTTAGGATGCCTCCTGGACACCTCCCTGGTGAGGTGATCTGGGCATGTCCCAGGAGGCCCAGAGGAAGGCCCAGGACACGCTGGAGGGACTATGTTTCTTGGCTGGCCTGGGAACGCCTTGAGATTCCCCCAGACAAGTTGGCCCAAGTGGCTGGGGAGAGGGAAGTCTGGGTCTCTCTGCTTAGGCTGCTGCCCCCGCGACCCGATCCTGGATAAGCGGCAGAAAACGGACGGACGAACAACCACCATAAAATACATCTACCAAATACATTCATGGCATGAAACTTGTGTTTTAACCTCCAGTTTTGCCTTTATACAAAAAGAAGTCATCCAGCCAACTGTCAATAAACATGCACTTCAACCTGCAGCATCACATGATGATATACAGGATTATAGCTCATGTAGTCACACTGATTGATGATTTGGCATCCTTCTAGAAGGCAACTTGTGACATGGTCAAAGGTTTTCTAATGCTAGCGACAATCATAGTCATACTATTTATTTTTCATATTTGATCATTTATGAATTATATTTATCACAGTTTTAACGTTTAACACAAAGTTAGACTTTAGATAAAAAAAAGATCCGGGCAGGTTGAGGCTCAGGTATCTCCTCGGCTGCAGTGAACTGGTCACGTGCGAACACATACGTTTAATGCTTAGACATTTACTAATTTATTACAGAACTTTACCTTCATGCGGGGTGGGTAGTTCTGGTAGTGGGTCGGAAAAAGAAAAAGTTCTTGGAAAAGTCCGAGCAACTCTGTTTACTTCACCTGAATCTGCTCAGAAAGTAGGACCCGCCCTGCTCTGCTCTGATTGGCTAAAACTGTGACTCTGGTTCTTTTATTGGTTGAAAGCAGCATCAGTTAACCCATCACAACACAAGTTTGTTTGTTTTTTTTTTCTTTTCTCAACAGCGGCAGAGACAGCCGGGGGAGACAGAGAACTTTAATCGCTTCTTCCCGACAAAATTTAAGAACTTTGAGTAACAAATTTAAGACCAACTTGCACATTTTTTAACAAATTTAAGACTTTTTAAGGTCTTAATTTTAGATATGTAAATTTAAGACTTTTTAAGACTTTTTAAGGA